TCGAGATGTCTTTCGGGTGCACCTGATTGTATATATATATATATATATATATATATATATTGTATGAACGTATGTGATATGTATCATGAATATTATGGTTAAATATCATGTCATATGATATTCTAACGCGGTGACTTCTACTCTGGGTCTTTGGAAATTTGAACAGAACACTCATAATTCAACATGGTAAATAGGCATGAGTTATTTTTTCGTATTTTTTTGAACGTTTTGCGCTTTTTTATTCCCTTACCGTGTAGTGAGTACACTTATTGGTCAAGCTTGTTTTCCTGCATTGCAAGCATGAAATCACTTAATTTTTGTTCGAGTGCGCGTTCAGGTACTGATGTAATTTCTATTGATTTCCCATTACTGTTTTATTTGTTCTGATAACCAAGTTTGTTTTGGCTGCACACGAGATGAATTTCTTGTTCTTGTTGTTGGGGAGAATGAAGGGCGATGTAATCCGCTTCGGACTGAACAAGATTACACATAAAAGTTCCCTGCTCATTACACAGGAGATTGTCGTTTCAGCAGTTCAGCTGCTTATGTTCTATGGTTTCAGTTGCTTCCAGCTAGTTTCCTTCGCTTGTAGATGGGCGACAATAGGTTAATTGAGATAGGTCTTTTTCAGTTACGGACCGAGCACGGATAACAGTATGCTTTATGTAAACCTAGTCCTTCGTTAGGTTAGCTGTTCGTAAAAAAACAAGCTGTAGGGTGTGTGCAGATGGAGAGACAGGGTAATCTTTTGCTTGACGAAACCGTGTGAGGTTACGGTCGATTTGGCCACGAGGCATATGTGATCACCTGTGCTGAAATGCAGTTTGTCACTGGCCTTCTGGCTTTCCATTTTTCCACAGGTTATTTGAGCGTGCAAAGTGTAGAAACCGCCTGATCGACTAGAGATATCCGTACATCTTTTTTTTTTTCGCAGTTGGCTTTATTGCATGGCGATTGAATTTCACACTTTGGCGCTTCAGTGCTGCGGTCACTAATGATGATGATAGTGGTGTGAATCATGACCTCTGTCCGTATCTATTTTCACTTCGGAGTTATTTTCGCGTGAAGCTTGGGATCATGTGGCTAATTACACATTCTTTTCACAATAATCCTCAAGGTCCAGGACATTTTGGGGCAAAGGACTTTTCAAACGCTTCACAGAAAAGCATTTCCATCGCCAGATTCGTTTTGGAGAAAGTTGATTTGCGGTTGGTAGGCGTGTTGCATAGGAATGCTTGACCAGGATTTACAGATGCTTCTTGGACGGTTTTGACTTAAGTTAGCGCCCATCAGACATGCCTAGTCTTCCGAAATTTTTCGTCTGGTGGGATAGTTATTGTGCGTACTGTTCTGTGCACGTAGCTGATGGGCTTGTTTTTTAAAGTCCGTTCTCGTTGTTTTCGGGTTAGCCATTATCTGCAGTAAACAATACCGAATTCAGGCTTCACGCGGTCTGATGGGTAGCAACCTGCTCCCAGACTATTTCGTTGGAAGACATCGCGTTGCTTTCAGCCGTGGTATGGCGATTCTCTACGAGGCTCATAGGCAGGAGCACTTGGTGGCTTAAATGTCAGTGCATTTGAGTAGGAATTGAGATCTGGATGAGAAAAGCGTTGGTCTGACCAGAAGAACCTCTGATTACGCTGCACATCACTTTCAGTCTCACGTTGATTTCCCCATCAATGCCACTCACTTCTATCCAATGAATTGTAGGAATACGAGCCGTAGCGGAATGTATGGCAAAGTCCACTTCAGAGGAAACACAAGAAGAAGCTCGTAATCTGCTACAAATTTTAGCAGAAGGGAATCCGCGATTTTCCGATCAGGTCTACAAGGGACTTATTGGAGTGTTGCCATGCCATTCGCCCAAAGCACAGCAATTGGCACTACAGACTATTCGTGTGCTACAGGTTAGTTTTCACTATTGAACTTTGTTTTCCAGAGCAGATTATTGGGTCTACGTACTTTTGGCCTATCAGTAAACTGTGTTAAGCACACCAGTTCATCGGTGTCGACGAACGTTTCGTCGTTGCTTACATCAGGATTACCGTTTTTAATCACTTAGGTTACGGAACTCTTTGGGATTCCTCATTCAGTTCGAGCGGATTACTTATTGTTCGAGTTCAGGCTGTGATCAGGATAACCTCGTTCAGGAGTCTCACGTTGTCCATCTACCAGAAATGCCTAGGTGGTTCCATCTTACCTGAACTTACTGGCTGTGGTACGAGAAGCAGACCACCGATACTCTTCTGACCATCGACTCTCTGTCCTGCCGTTTTTCTTCGGTCCAGTGTAAATTGTAGATTCAGAAGGAAACTGGTGTTCAACCATCCGCAACAATTTTTCTCTTTCCTGGTTTGACAATTTCGATATCCTCTCTCCGTGAACTGATTGATCAGTTTCTGTTTTTGTCAGTGTAACTGCACATATAGCATCTCCAGTTGCCAGTACAGGCTTTCGATGCGCCTTTTTTTAGCATCTCCAGTTGCCAGTACAGGCTTTCGATGCCGTTTTTTTTTTTTACCTTAACCGGAGTGCGAATCTTCTGTTGTTAGTTTCTAGCATGGATCTTTGTTCCCGGCTGAAAAAATATCTCACAGCTGTGCATGCCGTTTCAAGTGGTTGACACTGATGTGCAATGATTTTCATACTTATCCAGGCGTGTGCTTTTTGAACATCTGTGAAGAATAACGCGTGTGTTCAGGTACATTCGGTTCATCCATCTGGCCTGATGTGCCTGGGATATCGACCCGCGGTCATTTGTTGTCTGCGCTATTAATCTGTTTTTGACACAATAATTGGGTATGAGAGGGCATACTTTGTTCAAGGAGTATGTATGGTCGGTCATCTCCCTTCTCTCCTCTTTCTGTTTTGAGTAGTTTGAGCTTCTACAACTGCTTGGGTATTTGATTTGTTGTCTAATGTTTTGATGGCTAAGCGTCCATTTTCTGGTTCACTGTCTTTTAGCAATCTCGCGAAACGGCGAATCGGGCTCTGATTGACCGGATTATTTACCTGCTCGAATCTTTGCATCTCGAGGTTCAGTCTGCAGGTACGCTTTGGCTTATCCAATCAGTTTTTAGCTCATGCTGTAATGTGTGTATAAATACTGTTGCCAGGTTTTGGCAATTTCCGATTCTCACGTGCGTTTTGTTTGCAGAATCGAATAAATCTTCAGAAAGCGCAACGTTTTCGCTTGGATTTAAAAAATTCACATGTATGGAAACGCCCCCCGCTCAACATCTGTGCATCAGGTGCTATAAAAGGAGAAGTCTTTGACTACTGTCGATCTCAGGGATCCTGCAGCGCTATCCAAGTCCACAGACTGCTTTCCCTCAAGTCAGTATGGCCTTGTCAAGTTTGGCCGTTTTCATGGCTTCTGTTTTTAGCGGTCAGTACATCGAAACTGCTGTTATCCCATACTATGGGCTGTGCGTGAACGAAGATATAAGGATGCGTACAGACGTGATGATATCTTCTGCTCGTCTATTATCTTAATCAGGCTTGGCTGGGCGAATGTTGGTGGTTAAATGAACTAGAGAGTGAGTTCTTCATCAACCAACCAACACCAATTGAGACATCCAACTGTTGTCATTCCTACAACAGTAATATTGAGCTACACTTTAATCATTGTGACAGGACGAAAAGCGAGTTACCGGGCGAATCGAGATAGAGTCATTTTCAGCACCAAAACAGTAATGATCAGGTTATTCGGTTTATTGAGTTAGCCTAGATCTATAGCGCACGAGTCGAAGTATGGTCTGTTGTCGGGTGAATCTGTGTCGAATTCTTTTTGATTTTTTGATGGTCCCTCTCTGACAGTGTCTCAGTACTCGTGTCTTTCATTTTGGGTTAACTGACAGCTATGTGCCTAATTGGTGCCACAGTGGATTGACTTACTTTTTGAGCCGTGCTATGATGAGCAGATTTGACGACTGTAAAGAGACCTTGGATCCCTGGCGCAGATCTGCCCTAAGCACTATCTATTACCTTTAGGTTGAATCATCTCACTGATTTTTCCGCCCATCTTGACTACACCCCTTCCTGTACTCTTCGTCTCACCGCAGTAATTGAATTGGTTCGAGATCTCATGCGTTTTGACCTAGCCGACGATATATTGGTCGCTTTGGTCACACTTCTTCGACCACAACGAGAAATTCAACTGGGTAAATTATTCACCGAGGCAGTATCCGGCTCGGATTCCAGTTCTGACATGTCTGAAAGTGAATGCGGTGACGGTAAGCTTTTTTCTTTCTCGTCTATCTATGCTGCTGGCGGTCCGACCGATGTTCTATTCGTCAAATTTTCTTGGCCTTCTTGGGTTATGATGGGTCAAATGGTCGGCTTTTCATTCCCGTCGTACAACGCTCACACTTGTTCCGTACACCCTTACTGTGCACACACTCACACAGTACTTGCAATGGACTCCGTTGGTCGAGCATTACCCCGTAAGGTTTTCGAACCTAGGAAATATGGCTCACTCACTCTTCTCTATTCGCTCATGTGTGCGATTTTAAGCAGACGAATGCAGCCTGTTGCAAAACAAACTTCAACCGTTTCTGTTTTCGGGATTTCATGCCTAGTCTTTTATGATCCAGTCTTGACAACCTTTGTGTATGACAGGCAAAGTTTTCGTAGGTGCACTTTTCCCTTTCTACGTCTTTTTGCACCTGCATGGTGTTGGCTTTATTTTTAAGCCTGAAACTCATTCGTGTTTTTGCCACTCAGATTCCGATATAGCTAGCGCTTTGTCACAAAATGAAGTATCGAAATCGTCCAAACCTCGCAAAGTCGGTGTGGGTCGGAAGCCTAAACTTGTTCTTACAGAAGAGAAATCGACTGCACGTCCCCATGCCATGCGTGATATTCGAACGAAGAGCACCACTTCTTTACAAAGTTCGGCCTCCGGCCATCGAGACATATCGACAAGGCCTGGCGGCGCTAAACAGAAGACCAAAACTCTTAAGAAGCGCGGTGATTCTCAGGCGGAAGCTCAGCCGTTGCCAGCGTTTGTTCAGCAAGCGTCCGCAGCCAAATGTATCAGGTGACTTGCTAGTTCAACTATTACTCACTTTTTCTAAATGTTTTAGAAACTCGGAATGGTCCAGTGTTTAAGCCTCGGATTTTGCCCGAAAAGTCCGTGGTTCGAACCCAACCCCGGCTTCTCAGTTATCCATGTTTATGCTTGGAGAACCTAGTAGTATCTCAGCCTTCGTGTTCCCTTCAGGTATCATAGCAGCTATGCACCGAAAGTGTTAAGTTTTGGCTATTATTGTTATTATTGTTATAATTACTATTATTACTCTTACCCAGCTTCTCTCTATGGTTCAACAATCGTTTTCGCCTCTATGCCGTCATACGCTATGATGTTTGCTTTATGAGCTTGGTTAAGTGTGTTGTCAGAACAGCTAACTGTTTTTTCCTGTTTTTTGGCTATTTGCTTCATTCCCCTAAGAAAAGAGCCAATACTGCGTCGACGCAACTTCCCCCAAAACCTTCAATTGAGACTCCATCGGTGCTCTTATGTTTTAACAAATCTGCTTAAGATGGTGGTCTTTCCTGAATCGTGACTTGTGTGGCTTCTACTGAACAGAAAGAGCTGTAAACATGGCAACGTTTCTTTATTCTGCCGTCACAATATAGGAAAATTGCTGGGTGCTTGAGACATATCTCAAGTTTAGTTTCTCTTTTCGGACGAGGCCTTGTGCCCATTTTTTCTGCATACGGCTTTGTTTTTCTATTTGGCCACATTATTCTTGGCTAGTAATCACTACATTTGTCGAACAATAAAAGATTGTCGAAACAGACTAAATTCATCAGCATGGCACAGAAAGGTTGCCAGCAAAGCGAGGCCATCGCGAATAGGATATTTCCACTTATGACCTTTTCCGATTTGTGCAGGTATGTAGTATGACCTTCACCTTTTCACTTCACTTAACCACTACGATTCCCCCATTAGTTCGCGTTAGCCTCCTTCGGAGCTTCTGAAAGTTGTAGTATAATGTATTGGAGGTGAGCGATGCGTTACTTATAGTGAAACCACTCAGTACTATGCCCCACCACAGCGCTTCCATTCTTTAGTGACCACCTCAGGACTTTTCGATCAAGTTTTTGCTGCGCCCAAGTCCGTGCCGTTGCCAACACAAGCGCCATTTTTCACATAAATTTGGAAAGTCGACGTTAACACGCAACTGACGGATTACACTCCTTTACAACGTTCACACTCATAAAGTGACCATTTTTGACAGCTCCTATCAGTGGTCACCGTGAGGAAGTGCTATCCACGCGTGAATAGCTTTAGGCGCGGAACCGCATTACTTCTATGTGCTGTCTGGAGGATGTTGCATCTCCTACCAGTGTGATGACGAAGTTTTTCAACACTTATCCTCGCTTGTATCGGTACATTGCCCAAAACACCACGTGCAGTTCAACACAATCTATGGGCTGGTCGCTGTGATCCTGAGTGATTAAAACCTGGTTTTTCCGTCGTGGACTGATTGCTTTCCCTTCTGTCTTTTTGCACTATGATTCTCTTTTTTTCAGAATTCTTGCGCAAGACTCCGTGGAGTTGACAAGGAAAATACTGAGGGTATGTGGTTTTTCGAACATTTTCTTATTCCATATCACTGAAACCGAGGGTGATTCAGTGTATACGGTCTCTAGTAACATGTGATTGAAAGTTGTACACATCGTTATTTTCATGATTTGTTTCCTTTATAAATGAATCGTACGCGTTCAGCCATCCATGGAGGTCCCTTGTTCGTCTCCAGCGTGGCAGATATTACCCTAACGAAACCAGCTCTTCATCACGACGCGTAATGAATCTGTTCAGCGTAAAGCCGACGGTAGACTGTCGGTTTGCTAATTTTGACCGCCGTGACCCACAGTACACGTACGTGTCTTTGATCAAACAATCCGCGTGTACTCAGCTTTTGCTCATGAGCGATTTCTGCGAAACTAAAATATCGTGTGACCGTTCAAAATGAACTCCCGTAAATCATGGTTCAAACCAGTTTTCGGGTCTATCATTTTATATTTATTACCGGAATTAGTAGGCGAACCCCATGAACCAACACCCTCAGGGTAGTTAATCTACGCAAATCTACTGTGGGGCTACCAGAACGAGGTAGCCCGTTATACACAGTGAATTTGGCTTACCAGATCTCATCTCACTTACATACATCAACACAACTACCAACTGATTGTGCGTAAGTAGATTCAAACCAGTAAGGTTTGCGTACCATATTATCACTAGTAAGCTATGCTGCCAGTTTCAGAAACTTTAGTGCGGATGTCTAACCATGATGGCAGGTGAATGATTCCAAATTTTCGCCATGCGACTTGTCAGGTGTTGCAGCCCACCCGACCTTTCAAAGGATGATAGTCTTATTGTCTGCTCTAGGATTGTGGCCTTTAAAATAGTGTACGTCATCAGAAAGAGATGTTAATCCTAATAGACTGAATTGCATGGTTTTATTACCTTTGAGGAGGACATCTAACTGCATAGATTTGAGCACAGGGTTCTTTTGTTTGTGACCGTCCAATCAAATGTCTAGATCGCATACCCGCGTTTTCTTCAGTTGCCTTTTTGAGGTATAAAGTCTCATCAGCTCACTGTCCGCGGTCGCGTGCTGAGGTTTACCTGAATGCCTTTTTGTCCACTTCATCCTCTACTAGTTGAATATTTTGTTTAAAATATCAAGGTGGGTGTGTCTACTGAAGCCAGCGCAAAACAAATTCATGCACTGGGAACGCAAGGACACCTCTCGCTACTCATTTTTAGCTGTCTACCATCATAAGAATAGACAGAAATACTGTCTTCTGCGTAAAACTGATCGAATCGGTCACGTAGTCCTAGTTTCCCCATTTTACAGTTGGATTCAAAGCGGTTTTTCGTACATTTTGTGTCCATTTTTCTTATCTACCCAACCAAGTACGTGATCACTTACTCGGATGGAACTGAACAGAATGATTGCCGTAAAGCAGCTATAACCATTTCAGATGTGCTAACCAACCACCATTTCCGATACTGAAGCAGCATCTGATGTTTTATTTTTAGCATCAGTTTGCTAAGACACTCGCCGTTGTAGAACGGGCTTACGGACAAAAAACCCGTGCCTCATGTTGACCTATGTGGCTGGTGGATAAGATCCTGGATTACACTTTCGACATTTTGGTATTGATCTGCCATGTGTACTCTCAACTTTACCGCTGACTGCCTTAGTGATAGTATGTGTATCTGTTTTTGATAGTTTACAAACATTATTTTAGTTTTAGCGTATGCTTCTCTTTTGACAAAGCATTTCGTAAGAATCCCGAGTTATTTGTGGTACATAACAAACAAAAACTTCACAAAGGCCTTCACATTCGTCTCCTTGTAGCTGGGAGCTTTATCAAGTTTGCTTTACGCAATGGGGAATATGGAGTTTTCTGACAGCCAAAGGCAAGCCAGTCTGACCTTAGAGGTAAGCAGCCATTTCATTGTTTGTTGCAACCGGACACACTGTTTGGCTTTCATCGTGCTGTGTTCTGTCAGAAGTGCTTGGTCCGCAGTATTTTAGCTGAATGATCGTCCTTTTTTGATACTTCATACTCACGAGACTGAGTGCGTACCACTAAAGAGTGTGCCAAATACCTCAGCTAATATGTTTTGTGTGAAGGAACCCTGTAGTGAAACAATACAGTTTCTTCACTTTTTCACGTGCCGTATTGAAGTGTAGCTATTCGAAAGTTCAAGTAACACCTTAACTAACTGAGGAGCATTGGGTGATCTGCAAGTTTAGTTAGATGACAGTGGTTCGTATAGGTGTCATGTACAGTTTTTCCAGACACCATTCACGACTGTCCCGATCAGTCTCAATACTATTCAACTTAATTTCGCAATGGCGAAACGGATCAGCCGATTTCAATCTATACTTGATCCTGGACAAGCATCGGGATGCAAACTCCTCCCCCACTGCCGTCATATTTGGCTTACACAGTAGGACCGTTCGCCCGTGTAGGTTTTCGAGACGAGTTGGGTCAGGCCACACACAGCCGAAAGCGCAGGCGAGCCTAAAGGTGAAATTCAGGGGACCCTCTTTTGCCATGCCGATCTGAAATAAGCCTTTAATTCGCAGTTCACTGAAAAACACTGTCACCAAACTGTCGGTCCGTTGTAAAAGGGTGCAATATCCTTGCGGACCTACCACGTGAATATCGTTAGTCGGTGTCTCTGTGTCCTGTGAAAATCACCGGTGCTTTCAAGTGAACGCATTTCCTACCCTGTTAATCAGTCGGCCGGTTTACATCTGATAGCGAGGTTTGAACAATCGGCTTTCGGGCCAAATGCAGGCCACATCGTTACATGTCTTCTGACGCTAAACAAATGGCTTCACTGATTGACCACTTATCCCGGCATAGAAATTATCAGAGCCTTTTTTCTTTCCAATTAACGTGATCTATAGGTACTGTTGTTACTGTCTAGTTGGTACCCCTGATGATACTTAATGCAACAAAAATGGTAGAGATGGGCCCAATCAACGCTGTTAGGTTTCAGAAGTATGACAGTTCACCACATTGGGCTCGAACGCATATTGAATGGAGGCTTTCGAATGTAGATGGATCAACAGGCATAAACCAAGTCCCATGAACTATTCCCTTCAGGATTTTTGAAACGTCATGCTTGCGGTATTAAATCGAGAACGGGGCATCGTGAATAACTATCCGGATAGCTGAGTGATGGATGATTGCTCTAGACGTATGCGGAATATTAGAGGGCTTTCCGGATAATTTAATGCCAATACCAACTTCGTATACCGTAACACTACAGCTTTCTGAAACGGACGTTTAAAAGTTGTGTTTTTAGGAAGGGATAAGGGGTTTCGTGATTCATTCAAATTGAGTGGCTGCTCAACTTGAGGGCGGAGGTTCGTGGGGTGTTTTTTCATAATAAAGTTACGTGCCCCAGTGGTGACGGTTTATGTCTGAGTCGAACAGCTTCTTGTGCGGTTGGTGATAGCATAGTTTCCCACGACCGAACACCGAATCATCAGCATACAACTCACCAACCAACACACAACAGTACGCACCGAATTCATAAAATCACGGAGCATGCAGAGGCATTGCGGGTCACCGATATTTCGTATGTGCAATATATTATGGTCACAACCACAGTGATCATTATAATCATTGACTAAATATGTTTCTGGTGCGAGCAGAACGTTAGTTCATCTGTTCAACTGAGGTATAATATTCCCATTCTTGTTTTCATTCAGGATTAGAGAAATCAGTTATGCCTTCATGGCTTTTTGAATAAGCATCAGGTGTATTGCAGTGGAATTTAGTGGATCATTTTCTTGGCTAGTTATTCTGAACGGCAATGTAGTTTGTGAGGGACGATAGAACTTCGTTGCTTGTATCATTCTCAGTACAAGCCAACATAGCGAACGTAGGGACGTACAAGTCGATATTAGAAATTCATAATTCGAGTTTTGATTAAAAAACATACAATGTGCAATTGGGTCACGTGGGCTAGGATAGTTCAAATGCCTGGCATAAACCGTCAACAAACCATTGTTTTTCTTCATAGTACCTATGTCAAACCTATCCGGTAATTGATCGGGTGGTTCGTGAGGCTATGGGTCCAAGTATGCACGACGAATTCACAGTAAGTCCTCTTTGACTTGTATTGTTTTTGAAAGTGTTAACCTCTTTGGATTAATGACTAGTTGCTTAACGTGCTCGCTTAGAACTACCGACAACTACTTAGTGGGTGAGATGTGAAATACCGACTGAAGAGTTCGTCGTTCGCTTCCAACCCTTTATTTTCAGTTGTTGTAGTTTAGGCTTAAGCAACCTGGTGGTGTCTCAGCTCATGTGCCTTCCTTTCGAGTCTTTTGCCGCTATGCACTCGGAGGCTATCACAACTGAACCACCACCATCGAGAGTGGTTGGCATGGGGCGCTCAAGAGTAGTGTTAGGTACTGTTTGATCCTGTTCCCTAGGCGTGCACCTATTGATCACAGCGGAGTGCAGGCAGCGGAGAGAATTCTTCATTAACGTTTTAATCACCGCTAAATTTTTCTAGTTGCCAGAACACGTACTCGCCTACGACACCCTATAAAACCTCAAATTTTCAAGAGTATCACCATCAGGATCCGCTGCAAACAGTAAAAACTTTGCATGGGAGTTATAATTGCCACACCCTTTCCTTTTCTTCCCGTCCCGTTATCATCCAATAGATTGAGTTCTGAATGGCTGTTTTGCATTTCACTTTTAAATATCCACTGCTTTTGTAAATTGTCGTATGTGTTAGTGTGTGCATTATTTATGTTTTTGTCGAGTAAGATGAGTTTTTGGCGCATTAAGAGCGAGGTCTGTGAAAGTGAAAAATACCCAGTTACTTGTCACTTTGAAATTTTGTAGCAGTTATGCACAAGGGATCGGTTGATTTTAACCGCGAGACACATCAACAAATGAAATGTAGAAGACGTCCAATTTACGCACTGTTGGACAGAGAATGTCATATATTTCGTGGTATTACAAGCGTAGCTAGACACATTCGAGGCTTAACTGGCAATCTTGTTACCCACCGAAATTTGACGAGGCGACGATCCGTTTTCACGGTCACTATTGACAAACATTGATGATGGTGAGCCGTATGGAATAAAGTTGTACCAGGAAAATCCCAAGGCATCAGGAATTTTTCTACGTCTCCATGCAAGTGGCAAGATGACGTCTCGACTGAAAATTCAGAACCTCACTACGCAACAACCAGCTAGAGTTTCGGTGGAATTTCCAGGCCTCAAACATGTACCAAAATGCGGTCGGTGTAACTGCGATCGATTGGCTGCAGTCATTTAGTTCCGTCCATGGTCTTTCTCATAATCGGTGTTATATACATACATTGGGACAACAAATGGGACACTTCCTCTGTTTGTGGCTAGCTTTAGTGGCCGCCTTTGTTCTCGTTTGACGGAATGAAACAGTGTGGTGCGTTGAATGCACCAATTTCTTTGCAAAACATTACCTTATACCTAGTGCCAAGGCTGCTGCAAAAACCCAGCTGCTAACGGAAGGCATAAACGGATAGTGCATTCATGTTCTGTTTTTCCGACAGCTATGTGAGATGAACGAAAATGAAATGAGCTTATAACGGTGAACCCGTTTTGCTATACTCGAAGGGAATCTCAAATTAGCCATCGAATGGTGTATGATGTTCAATGGTCTTTAGTTTACTATTGAAATATTTTGCAGTCGAATTAGACCTCAGTCAACCGTGTTAAGTTGATAAACTACACCGCATTGTCAAATGAAATACAGACTAAAGGGAGGAAGCGAAGCGAATTTCAAAGCAAAGGCGACATGCCTTTCTAATTCCTTCAATTTTTCTACAACTATTCGTAGAAAATCTGTTACAACCTCTCACTAACTGGCATTCCCTGAAAAGCGAACAGACTCGTATTTCTGTCAGGGTTCACCTCCCTTCAAGACTACGTTTATGGATGGCTAAAAATAAAATGATAGTAATCTATTAGTATATTGTCCCTTCGTTAGGATTAAGAATATATCCCGCCGGTGAAACTGACAAAGATTTCTTGCAATACACAGAAAGGAGTGTACGGGGCGAAGTAGACAAGTAACCACCGGTGTGAACGATGTCGCAAGTTATGGAGGAAGACAAATTTTGTTCAGGCCTGTGCTGTTTGGAAACGACCGAACTGGCAACGAATCTTGAAAGCATCAATTATTAACTTCACTTGGGTTGACTTTCACCAACTCCCTGGATGGGGACCCCGGAACTTAACTGATCACTGGTTAACGACACTTGCAGACACACCTCCATCATGCGGCCAGTATCGCTTCTGCATCAAAGCCATCGCCATCACTGCGTAGTGCCCATTTCTTCTTCATCAAATAGCGGATTATGCCATCGTCCTCAATGTTTCGCTCCATCTCCTTAGCTCTTTCACTTTTCGGTGACGGAACCTATAGCAGCTGAAACCAACGTATTCCTGGTACATGGTTTATGGCTGATAGATCCAGCTTTACTGAGCTGCACCATACCGAATAAACGCCGCTAGTCAGCTTGCCGCGAAGTCTATCTGACGATCTTTCATCGCTGCAGCTTGGTCTAAGTTACATCATGTAAAACGGTTTACATGTCTCCGCAAATATGTCGGATTCTGAACGAGGACATGGTTTGGCGACAGCTTGATTGCATTCTTCATCCACGCAATTTTGCTCTAAAAACCATTTTTCATGCTTCATCTCTGGTAGTCAAAATGGTCCAACTCACATTTTGGTCACCCGCTTTGGGTAACTTTAAGAAATGCCATAAGCTCTTGAATAATCTGACCATTCGCACCAACGATGACGAAGGCTCTATTGGAGTATGAAGCAAGTCATGGAGGATCTGTCAAACACGGATACCAAAGGCGTCCGCGAGAAATGTGCTTTCATACTGGGTAGACATTAGACTCTGCCTATCCATTAACACACTACAGTTTGAGGAAGGCCTTCAGGTTGTTCCATACATATGTTTTGGATAACAACTTGACGCTGTTATTAAAAACATCTCACACTGTCCATCGAGCTAGAGGTACCACATGGGGCGATCTTAATTTGTCAGTTGTCATGCACAGTAACCGGTAGGAAAATTTCCGTAGACATAGCCTCAGTTGACAACATCAGTTTCTCGAAAAAAGGATTTCCCCTAATCTCACCTTGTGCTTTGTCTCAGAACTCGCCGGACGCGCATTTTCATCAGATGACCCCACTTCAGGCCGATGTCTTGGTCTCTAACAAAGTCACCTATCTTGGTGGTAAGCATTGCACACGTGCATGTGTTTTTGTCGTACTTTTTTTCTATTCCTTTCTGTTGGACAACTCATGGGCATCGTCGTTCTCAGCAAGATCTTCTGTTTCAGGTTTGATTTGTTCGTGCGTGAAAATGTGCATGACTTTTGACCCATGTTAGGTTGTTCGTGGTATTTCGTATTGATCTACCACGTCCGCGTTTTTGAAATCTGAAACGGGAAGCGATACCATTTCGGTTTTGTCTTGCTACGTACTGAGACAGTTATTTTCTCCCTTTCGTGTTTAGTAGCACAAGTGAGCGTGCTGGCAGTGCAACCCGCCCCCCAGGCTGAAGTCCTCGTGACCCCGTGTGCTTGACTAGCTGCCAGTCACTGCCGGTTTCCATGCGGTTCATCCAATATAGCGCTGGAGACGTTAACCCATGGGTAATACCACGTGCCTTTGTTTTCCTGTTTGCTGTTTTCACAACAAGATCATTAGATAGGTCGACAGACTTATCTGTCGCCGGGGTTCCACAGAATACTGCGGTCACAGATGGTTCGAAAGATAAGGAAGAATGGCGATGAAAAGTGGAAGTCGTGCGAATTGAAAACGTATTATGGTATATTCGCATTGAGTGTTGCATCTTGGCATCGCTGGGAAATAGTTTCTGCCTTAATTATTATGCGGAGTTCTTGGGATTTCATTTTTGACCGAGCAATCTCTAATCACTGTGATGTTGTGACCATTCACACCAACAAACTTTCGCGCGTACAGATTTGGTCCCGTTTTATCTTTATTTTGTGCCTACATGTGTCCGGTTGGGTTAATCGACCGAACAGGTTATCTGCTTTGGAGGAAATCTTCAATTATTCTCCCAGGTCTAAGGTTTTTGTTAATAGGCTCATACGAAGTGTCGTCGCCATCGATTTTCCGGGCGCGACGCGGTTGTATTGATCGGCCGATTGCAGTCCTACATCTGTCCCGATCATACACTGATTGGTTGTCCACACTAACAGTTTGGCTATCTCCTCCCTCATCCCATTGCCCCTCATTTCGCCTTCCGCCTGAGACATTTTGTCAGATTTCCTTTTTGCCTGCTCATGGTGTGAGTTTTTTAGTGTGCATGAAAAGAGTTTTGGAAAAAGGGCACGTGCGTTTCGTTGTGCATCAAATGCTCTCTCTCTCTCTCATTTTCCCGTCTAACAATGCCGATGATCAGCACGCCTGACAATGCTGAAGAAAAAGTATTATATTGTTGTACACACTGTCTAATAGAGGCCGACACGCCCACCTTGCTTTTTTCCGTTGCACCAGTTTCGAGGTTGTGCTTATCGCCTATGGCAGCAGCTCTGCTTCGCTCCGTTTTTTATATCCGTCATGGTTGCTTGCAGTTACTTTTCCCGGATAGTTTCTTTACGCACTTTCGCATTTGTCTAAACCCTTTTGCTGGCGTGCATGACTATGATGGATACGACAGTTGTCGTGGTGTCACTATTACAGATTGCCGTTGGCTTTTGGAATCAGACATGCCTTAATGACCGGTTATAACCATGCAGGTAAAAGAACTATTGCATCTCTCTGATGGCATCTTAGTTTTCGTGGTTTCGACTGATCTATTCATCAAATGACGATGTTCTTAGCATCACTCATGCGAGTACTATTCTACCGATAATCAACCTGATAAATATTTCCACGAAGCTTTATTTTCTAGTTTACCTTGAAAGACAGCTTTTGGAGTTTTTGTTGCCTGGACTGGTGACAAAGTAATCCATGCATATCTTTCTATTCCTACCAGTACAGCGGATTGACTCCGGTCGGTTGCGTGCAATGGTTACGTAGACAAGAAAAGCGATATTTCAGTGTTATCAGAAAGCGACGCATGTTAACTACAGTTGGCAGTGGAATATTATTATAGCAGTGATTATTGCTTTTCATATGATTAATGGATTTTCCGTTTGCGGGCCGATTGATCAAACTGCTTGATTCGTTAACCAAGGCTAGCTTTTTTCTTTCCCCGAGAAGAGTATGGAGAATTTGTTGAAAGCCCCCACAAGCAAGTGGGGGCTTGCTTAAAGTGAAAATAGTCTATTTACGCCTCTGTCATCCATAGTGGGGATATTTTCATAGTCAGTATGTTGTGTTCTCTCTAAAGAAGGAGGAGAATAGGACCTGGTGTCTAGAGTTTACTGTCTGGAAATGACAGATCATCCAAGGTTTTGGTAGACATGAGTTTCACTAGACAAGGATAAACACTACCCCCAGAGATGACAGTTAACCGCCGGTGGGGTAATTGATAGTTTCGATTCAGTACCGTTGATAGCGCCGATTGTCCGAAATTAATGCACTTCATTCAAGCGTATGCTTTCATTTACATTAAATTATTTCGGAAGACTTACAAGAATACATTGCCGCCTAACTTCTAGGGTGTATTCTCTATAAATTGCTTTGAGACTACGTATTTGAAGGATATAAATTGTGTCTCAAATATCTGTTACTGTGTTACCCATTTTTCAAAGAACTTTTTCCACCTTTCGATAGTCCCAAGCTTTACTCAGCGCATTATTCCTGATATCACTTCCAATTAATTCTTTATAGAGTTGAATATCCTTGGAAGATTCGGAATTCATCGGGGTTGTTTGTTTGTTTGTTTCAATACGACTATCGTACGCTATTTTTAAGAGAGTGTTCTTGAATGTATCCGAGTTTTCGATGACTGGATGATCTCCTTCTCTTCACTCATACATCTTAACACATGCTTTGTTCTTTTCTCGTTTTCAGAAGGGATTTAACTAGTGAAACTCCTTAGAACGATGCCACTACCAGCATTGATCTTCGGCTATTGTACGTCCTCAGCAAACATTCCTGGATGGTCTACTCGTAATGAATGATGATTTTCGCTATGATGCTCCATAACATCACCGTCCAATGTACCTAGCGTCTTTCCGGCACTTCAAATAGATTTATTCATTTGACTCTACTTTTCATTGTCATCAATGTTTGTTGTGTGATGAAAGCGGTCGATTTGGAATATGCGACCTCTGTAATCTAAGCTTGACACCGAAAAGGCGAATGTTGGATATTCTCCAGACTTGTATGGTTGTGTGGTTAAATGTAATATCGGAAGCGTAATAAGCTGTAGTGAATTGTGGTGAAGCCCATTAACCTAGCTGGGTCGGGTGCGCAGTTAAAACCGAATTCAATGGAACTGGAGGATGTCGGATCTCCTCTGAAAGCTGATCGGGATATGCCTTATTGCATACTTCTAAACTTTCTTCCTGTTTATCCATCTCATTTTTTTCGGCTGATCAATTGTATTCCCGGAGTCCACTTTTACGGTAACTCGCCAAAGGTCCACGCAAGCGAATCTGAATCACGTATCCTCGGTCACCGTAGAAACAATCAGTCCCTGCATGGCATGAAGAAGCGACATCCGGCGTGACATCTATCACACTTAGTTTCATCCCAGTTGTAACCGGATCGATAAAGAAGTTTTCCCATGCTGTATCAACTATGACAGTCTTGCAAACAACGTTTCATAGGTACTCATATACCGGTAGTAACGGCCACAGTAACGCCAACGAGAGAGACGCAAAGCATCGGAACAAAACCACATCTCAACGACCGGCTTTTCTGAGGATAATAATCATGGAGGAATGTCGACTACTTCAAGGGACTAATTTAGTAAAACCCCACAATGCAGACCATTTGTGCTATTTTGTCGGAAATGATGGTGGAGGAATGCTACCATTCTCTCGTTGAGGATAACAGAACACAACATGTTCGTGCATCTCATACAGATTGATCAGAAGGAAAGCTGTCGTACAAAATGAAAAGGAAGCGTAAAGCCTAGACTTGGTAGTCGCAGCTTCATTCTTTTTATGTCCAAAAAGTAGATTAGATGAACTTTCGGAAAGTAAGGTTGAATGTACAGCAAAGTGCCAAGTCCTTTTCAACTCTGGTTTACAGGATGGTTTCCTGTAACACTATGGTTCTTCTACTACATTATACTCAAGGAATTGATCTTATTTTTTCACAAAAGGTGGCCAAGAGGTCACCTGTTTGAGACACTCATACTAAAAACTCAATCAATATAAGGTTACGTAATTAGAAAATGTAATGAGTAGAAAAAGGGAGCAAACACAACTAAACGTACCAGCTTCTTAGCGTCTACGAGTACCGTTTTTTTCAGAGGCCCACGCATAACTCGTAGTTTTTAATGTTTTTGTTGTTTTACCGATGGAGCAAGTCTCGAGCGGACCCACCAACAAGCAGCGGCAATCCTTTAGGTATCTGAGTGTTGTTCAGTAGGGAAGGACTGCTCTCGGACATTTTTATAACTACCTGGTGCCAGCGTGTATCTGCATTAAACAATTTTAGAACAGTTGTTTCTCCTGTGGCTGCCACTTCCTGGGATCGCTCACGGGTTCAAGAAACTGGATACTTATTCGACATTTGCATTCTCAGTTCTGTGTACCGAATTGTAAAGTACCGAGGGTGGCTCATAAACCTGTGGTTGCTCCCGAATATTTGCTCAAATATTTTAGCTCGTGGAGCCCAGTGGTCAGTCCGGAAGTAATGATTGTTTACCTTCAGTATCTTTTACTGTCATATGGTACGGCGTTGACAATAACAATCAAAGAAGAATCACGAACGGTCAATTCGTCTCAGCTGTGGCCTCGCCTGTTCACTCTACGCGTGCTTTTTCAAAACGCAAAGGCACGCCTTATTATCCTATGCACTCATGCAGAGTACTTAATGAAGCACCGTTTTCACTCCACCAGCTCACGCTGGACGCATCTGGATTGTCGCGTCTGACCAGGCGAACATCTTCACGCTTGAGTGATGTGATCGGTTAGTCTGATGGATCGAACGACTACCCAGTAACTATCCTGGATATGCAGACTCATTGGCTTGCCTTTTAGGACTTCCCATTTGGGTAGCGCAACAGAAGGTTGAAGCCTGCTGGAAAATTTTTGAATCGATTGGAAGTGGTTGTTGGTTGTTGATGGTTGTCTCAGTGATCAATGAATCGTGCGATTCTAAACCTACCTTTAGCCAACTCATGATGACCTGTTTTCCGCTCCACTTTGTTACTTGTGTTCTGTCGATTCTAGCGTGTAGCATTTCCCCCTACATCGACTAATCTATATTTTCTCCGTTTTGTTTATTCATACGCAGCCGTTATCTACCAAGTACGCATCGACTTTTCTTTCGGATACTACACTCAGGCATTACGTAGCTCTGGATGAAACTGCTTTTGCGTACTTCACCGAACATATAGACGGACCGGATGTCTAGATGTATCCTTTGTTTCTTACACACCCTGTTTGCGTCTGACACCATCAGACAATTGTGATGGATCATCCTGAGCCCATTTCAAAGCGCCCAATGGATATTCCCCAGTGTCGCAAAGGCTTCACATTAGAGGAAGCCCGTGCATTCATAGACCAGGTGATGGATGTGTTCCACGGGTTGGAGGATATGTCCGATCTGCGTTCCATGTACGAGACCGGGAAACAACTGAGCCGGGCTTATTTCGATTGCCATACTTACCGAGCTGAATTGGCACAACACTTGACTAATTGTGACTATCCGGCATTTGCATCGAAGATGATGAAAAAGCTGAACAACATGGGCGTGTTCAAAAATGACGATATTTGGTTCTCTTCTTTTTACTTCTACAACACCACATGGAATTTTTCTGACACGTGGCCGGACTTTGCAACTGCGTTGGCTGCTGCAGGTTTGCCGAATCTGTTGAATTTGAATATTGGCCATCAACCATATCTAGAGAATCTGAGCAGCAAAAATGTCTACTATCTTATCAAAGCTAGTCTGTCCATCATTCACAATATCGCCCGCGTACCTGGTAATACACATTATTTCACTTCAGAATCCGTCAGACAGGCATTGCTACATTTGGCACAGAGAGAGGAGGAATTTTTACGTTGTGTATCTACATTGTGTCTAGCTCACATTGTCACTGAGTCCGAAGCACACCTGATCATGGACACTAGCTCAGGTGGAATCGACTTACCCCGCGTCCTGTTTGGCTACATCAATTCGGCGCGTGTGTCGGAGAAACGTCGATGTCATGGTTTTCAAGTGATTGAGCTTTTATCTGCTTTATCCGCATTCTCTGTCCACGACACCGTTAAAGCGAATTTAGTCAGTATCAGTATTCCACCAACTGGTGGCCCCACATCCGACCAGGGATCTGCATGTATTAGTCTTCTGAAAGACCTCATCGACGCTGCTGTGCATCCATCGCCTAGTACAGTCTCAATCAAAGAAGCTGAGGAAGCTATTCGTATACTATGGAATTTAACAGTTGAAACCACTTCCTTGACTAGTAGTACACAGAACCAAATGAAAACATGGGTTGGTGAAGTACTAAATAACCCGGCGGTTCCAAATCTCTTTACCAAAGCCATGATACGTGCATTAGAAGCCATACATTGGAAATTATGCCATACTGTTCCTGCGGTCATCCGAGATGAGCCTGCCGAATGTGGTTCGGTGCTTTTTAGTTTCGCTCCATCCAACCGTGTTGCTGTCAGTCGTGTTGCAGATCGTCTTCGTGAAGCAAACCTTCCGATCTCCAACGTTCCTTTTGTTTCTGAATCCATCGCTCTTTCCGAAGCTAGTCTGGTTGGATTGAGTATGTGCGCCTGCAATACAGCAACGAGAACGCAGTGGTTGGAATGTATTGACCAATCAACAATTATGGTTGTTTGCCTCAGTGATGCCTATCGCCTGAGTCCTGGTTGTCGTCTAGAAGCGGAATATTTTATCAGCACTGGTTCGGATATTCGACCTAGACCTATAATCCCTATTGTATTGCAGCCAAAGCTGAAGCCCACAGGGTGGCTAACACGCCTATCCAACAGACATATGATTGATTTCAACGGGAAACGAGATACAGAAGCAAGTTATGAAACATTGATTAATCAGCTCAGAGAGCTTGTTGCCGAAGCCAGAAAGCGTGCCGAAGCCGCTGCTCACGCTGCCGCCATGGCTACGGCACGTCATCCTTCCATTGATAGCAAACGTCACATGGCGATTGCTGGGGATACTGGAATCGCTGGAATGAGTAATGCTGATCCAAATGTCAATCATCTGAATGGAGGCCCCATAGGAGGCAATCGTGCCGCGTCGGTTTTGTCTGTCAAGCGCGAAGATGCGCTCCCGACGTCCGCTGCTCATGGCTTTCCCAACAAAGTCCTAGATCCCAGCATGAGTTTGGGTGCCCTTAGCGGTCTGGCCTCTCGACCCATACCAACCAATGCTTGGCGTCAAGTGATCAAACCTGAAGTACGGACTTGGTCTACGAGCACTGTTGCAACGTGGCTACGATTTCGTGGTCTAGGTCATGTGCCAGCAAATATGGCGGGAGGCATAGACGGCATTTTACTGTCTCAACTAGCAGGCCTACGCCTTTGGGCTCCAGAGTATTTCACTCAAAGTCTCCGATCCGACCTTGGACTCAGTTTTGCCGATTCTCTGCGTTTTTTGGAAGCCCTTGATGAACTTGCCCCAGATGATGATGAAAAGAAGTTACAGGAGAGCTCTGATGGTATCGGTCTAAACGCGCACGTAAACGCGATGGATGGTCCGATTGCAAGACAGTAGCCAGCAGTTCAATTTTGAATAATTCATTGGATGTAATGAATATCAGACCTTTCTGAACATCATAGAACACCCTCTTGATAACTGCTAATTTAGATTATTGAAGTGGTAGGTCCAGCTGTCTCAAGTTTTGCTCACTCTGATTAACAATGTCAATTAATTTAGACTGTCTCAATCACCAGTCGTCTTCTCCAGGATAAGTTGTTTTTTGATGTCCCGTTCATTTTGTCTCTATCCTTCAGGTAGTTCTTTCATGCTTATTTGGCTCGTTCTGGGAAGTTTCACTTGAATACTGCAGGCTGGGTAGTATAAATTTGAACTCTTCACTGTGCACTCTCTTCGTCTTTGGAACACTATGTTGCAGTAGATTTTGACCTGATGCGTCCATGGTAGCGTCTTACCGTCTGGTGATTGGGTTATTTTGGTCTGTGCAAAGATCCGCATTTGGTCAACTGGAGCTTGGCGCCCATCCCATCTGGTCACACTCAGTTCAACCATTCCTTCTATATTAGTTCATTCTGGGTTCCATGCTACCTCTTGCCAGGCTTATAAGCCAAGTGAACTCTTCTGTATTGTGTGTCTATTGTATGAAGTGCATAAAGCAAGAGTATTTGTACCAAAGAATCGAAAATTTTCACTAGAGTCCGTTTCTCTATGTTGCATTTACGTCTTAGCGACTGATTACTCTTCAGTCGGTGGCATGTCTTCTCGTATTCCTCTAACCGGTCCTTTGTATGTGCAACAGCACCCACTGTACCACGCTTCCTCATGTTTTTTGGTCAGTACACTCTACACACGTACTTCGCTATGTGATTGGGCTGCTCAAATTCTAGTCCTATTTACCCCGTTCTCGTTTTGCGCCACTTCAAGATCTTCCTTGACTTATGTGCAGTGCAAAACAACATGAAGGCGTATTTGAGTTGGCAGACCTGACCAGGTTAAATTTACATTGACACTGATGGTCAACCGCACACGCTTTTCTGTTTGCTCGCAATTCAACTCGCAATATTTCCTTTACATGAAGTAAAACGAGCCTCGTTTCACCCCTCTTTCTGTAGTGGAATACAAATACAGAATACTATTTGCTTGTTTGTAACCCAGTTGTCTATAATGATCGCACCGTTTGACCTACATATTTGATGGAGTTACGTTCACACATATATTCTCTAGTCTTGGACTTCAACTTGAAACTAATTCGATTCAGTCAACAATCCCTGCTAAGTTGTGGGAAGTAATCTTGCGAAATACTTCAAAGGGGATCATATTGTCCAAAATTCTACGGGATTCGAGACGGAAACGAGTCGAAACCAAACTGTTTCCTGACAGAAATCCTTCACCGGAGGGTTTTCATGGTGGATCCTGGGAAATGTGTTCTGCATCGTCGTATGATTCTTGAGTAGGCTGACAACAGGATAATTTCAACAAAATATTTAGCGTCGAATGTGTTTTGAGAAGCTTAATTGGTCATTCACAAAAAGACGGGTAGGAGTCCAGTAGTGTTTCATGGCGCCTCTTAATACTTTGCTGTGTACTCCATACGGAAGACCAGTCGGCTCGGTCATATTGGGCAATTTCGTCGGCTTGACATTAGTAGCTCATCCTCGGAAAGCCTGGGCTTTCCGTTTATTTGTAGGGTCGTTGCCTATTGTGCCTTCCGAATTGTCTGTTTCCTCGGCTAACTCATAGAAGTAAGTTTACTTCATGAAAACAACAAAACTTAATGTATACAGGGAAACTGGGTTTCCGTTGTCTTCACTAGTGACACAACTTTAGGTACACTTATTCTGAACACCCATCACTATCAAGGGAGTAGGTCTCAAACAGTTGCTGCAAGGTAGTTGATCAAGCGGCCATTGATCTATTCGCCGTGGTTGGCAACTTTCTTGCAAAGATATAGGCACCAATCGAGTTGATGTCATCAATATATGTCGGGTGGTGACCCTACCCAAGCTACTCGGGCTACAAATTTTACGGTACATTTCTAATTACCACAAGACCTTTCTAGTTCAAGAATTGTCTATTCTATCCTCTTGGGGGGATGATGGCGTTTGCCACTGTGGATACGGCTGCGTTCACAGGAATGAATTTTACACTTGAGGGGAACTGGCGCCTATCGACAATATCTCAGAGTCCACTTCTCAGAGGTGGTTTTGTCTATTGCTTCGCGCCTACTTCCTCGTAGTCCGAGCTTTACACCAACAGACTGTATTGTATGCGTTCAAGCACGGACGGTTCGCCGAAACGCCAATGCATGTGTGACTGGCTCTGCTATCCTTGAATAGGATTTCCCCCCTTCTGCATTATTAGTCTGTTAAATGTTTCTTATAAAACGTCACCGGTGTGTGTAAGCCAGACGTAGCATTGTGTGCACCTCTGGGAAACCCGAAATCTACCATAAATTATCGAGTGTTCAACTTCCTTACTGCGCTTACTGAAGTGCGTTGTTGCGCATACATACATAGATACTCATGGGTTCGTACACCAGGCGAGTGAGTGGAAGCCTACCGTGGCTGGGCCTGTTGACACTCAGTCGGACGACGGTGGGTGTTGTGTCGACCTCATGATAGCTGCTTTCAAACTTTTGAAGCTTGATAAACGCTTGACTGTCTCTCTCATCTGTGAGACACGAAGCGCGATCGATGCCAATTGTGGATGTCACGAGAAAAAATCCATGTGTTCCTAGCCGTGGCCGAATCCCATATGACACCGAACATTGTGGGTGATTGTACAACATCGCCAATTACAGAAGCCCAGTGGTTGAGGGGCTCTGGATCACGAAGTACAGATCGTAATAATTTATGGAAGTGCTGTTGCAACAGCAATGGGGACTCACGTTAGCCTAAATTACTTGCCGGCTGTGTCCTGTAACCGGCTCATAGACATTAAGGACTTTTGGCGAAAAATCGGTGCGCTGGCAGTGTAGACAGTGGAGACCACACGTTCTCGCAAAGGACTTGTCGTGCCCTACGGCTTCCGTCTTACACTCTTCTTTCCCGTTTAAGTATAGACGCCTTAGAAAATGTCCCAATTCATGCGTTTGTCCGAAACTGGCGTATTTTCCTATGGGAACCAATGTCTAATCAGTTCCAGTGAAAACTTGTCAATGAGATGCGCTGTCTACTTCATTTTTCGGCACCTATTAGAACCACCTACTGGATTCCAAATTAATATCACCACAACAAAGCGATTACGCAGAGTACAATCCAATCCAGTGGCTATAAGAGTCCCGAAATGAACCTTTATCTTTGACTACAGACTCCATGGACCACAAAACTCATTTACGCTGTTATAGCTATCGAAACAGTTTAACAAATCTAAGTCGATTTCTTGGCTCCTTTTACAACCACAGTCCGAATAGCTGTAGAGTACGGCAAGCATAGTCATCCCGCATGGTTATCATATATCGGCTCGTTTTGAAATGTGGAGATTTCCCGCAAGATCATGTGTCTGATTGTGTACTGTTTTTTCCACTTAGTAGACCTAGTAGCTAAATCACAGTTTCTTATACCAAAAATGTTGTCAAGGCAGAGGCAGCATTCTATTTCAGTCATGGATTAGCTAATAAGATGAGGTTTACTAAGCACCATAAGATATTCTATCTCTGGATTCATAAGATCTTCCTTGATTTGAACTTGAATGTCCGAATCAGATTTACTATATAACGTGAAGTTTACCAATGATGGACTATTCGGGGCTGTTCACACTCGAACGGTTGCCTAGGAATGCTAGTATAATCATGTTCTCATTCTGGTGTGGTCCTTCCAACAAGGAACTATTGTGGGGTCAGGTGCTCCCGTTTTGTTTCTTCAAACCAATGTACAGTGCAGATTCACTCACTCATAGCACGTATGTGCAGAACTCTTGTTTCGCCATATGATTGTCCTCATATCCAGTAATTCTTTTGATCCCTTTACCTGTTGTCATCTAGAAGGTTGACTCCTCCGCACACACTAAGCGCGCAAAATCCGGTGTAACCGACGGAACTCGGTTAGCAGGCGTCTGTGGTGAATCTTGACAAGAATTACGCTTGAATCTCTCACTTCGAGTCCAGCGAACTTACTGCCTATCTGTGTTCGTCTACCTACATACTGTCCCTATGATATAGGCAAACAGACGAGCAAACTTGCTCGTCGCTGCATAATGCGGGTCCACTGTAACATCAGCCTCATCAGCCTAGGTGATTGCGGTCATTTGTTCGGCTGGTGAGTCGTTAAGTCGAAAGCGGGCGAATACGAAGTCATTAAAGTGTGAACGTACCCTTGGCGTTGCTAACTACTGATTAATGCTTGGACTCAGCTAAAGTTGGTCGACATGGCAGACGGTGAGGCTACCAGAGCGAATTGAAGCCAATTGGCTACACCATGAAAAAAGTAAACATAACTTTAGTGCATTGCATTACTTCCTATTAAGGATTGGACACACCTAGCAAGAATGCCTTATTTTACTAGATGCTGTTAAAAGGCCGAGATTTCGAGTTTGCAGCTTTAAGGCGTCAAAAGAGGGGATCATCTTGCCGCTATTAACCAGTATGCCCGGCGGTAGTCTGTAAATGTGGTAATCCAAGCTTTTTCCAGACAGTCCGTCCTTGCTGTGTAAAACCCTGAAGATAATGGTTGGTTGGTGCACTCTGTCCTCAACCTGGCTCTTATCGCTGACTGAAACTAGGAGGAGGTAAAAAGGACGCACAGTCTTCTGGTAAATGATGCTACTTCACGGAATAGGTCAGGAAAGCTCACTTCGCGGACCAAGGAATTATGTGGTCACTTGCTTGTAAAACACGGAAACCGGTACTAAAGTCTGCGGTTCCCTAGTTCGATAGTATGATCACACCCAAAACGAGAGCAACCGGATTCCGCCGTTCGGACCTTTCCCTTGGTAGATCGAAAGTAGTAAGGTAAAGAGAGGTGAACACAGTGGGACATTTGAAATAGTATTGTCTCCATCCACATGTTTGCTCGTTTTGAACTGCAATATCATATTGCGAAATTGGAGTTGAATAGCAGTAATTTACATCTTGCACATAAACTGGATTTTCATATCGTTGAACACTGCATGACGCCTTTCAGTTTTTCTGTGGGTGGTATGGGACAGAGATTGTGATCTGTCTGGGCGATCGGGAAAAGCTGCTTCTTATTTCCTCACAGGATGAGTTTCTACCTGGTGTGGATCCCGTGACTGAAGAATCAGGGGCCCTATATCATGTCTGAGTACCAGTTAGTCACACTGATGATCGGTGCTCTTAATCGAAAGTTAGGTATTTAAACTATTAACCTGGATGTCACGGGTTTGAAACTGATTTCCATAAGTTGCTCATTGCTGATGACTCCCAATATGAATGAAACAGCTCTAGGTTCTTCCCGGCTTTTGAACGTAGGTTTGCTCCACTTACGGGACAGACTGTCTATTAAAATTACCAGATGTCATAATTTCAGGATTAGCGAAACTAGGGTAGAGTAATTCCCCCTTTATGAAAACATTTGAGTCGTTGTGCAGCAATTAGTAGATAATTTGATGCTCTCTTGGTTGGAGCCATATTGTGACTCATCTGAATTGTACTAAGGGAACTATGATGGCCTCTCTAAAAACTGGTTTTACTAGGAATGTTACAAAAGCCTACCAAGCGAGCACATGGTTTCGCGCATGTGGTTAATGTCTTTTGGCAGGCGCATGCTCTGTGAAATCTCTGGTCAAAATTTCGCATATCGCCCTTGCTTGTTTTGGCTGTTACATGCTCAATATCCATAGTTTTGTCTAAAATGACCGTAACCTCACTGTTGTGTATGGTTTCACGGGGAAGAATTTTCCTTGATCGATAGGAAATGAAAGCATATTTGACCAGACTTCCATTTTTTACCCCACGATCGCCACCAATCGTTGCTTCCAGGCGTTCCATTGCATCTGTGATATTCACTGATTCAGCCGTTCAACCTTAGTTGACATCTAGCCTCCCAGGTATTGCTGGTAATAAAACTTATTTTATTGCTGTTTTATTTTCCCGGTGTATATTATTTGTATTCGGAAGTGAAATATGAATATTCATGAGCGTGCGTTTACTACTGATTTTTTTGTTTGGCACCGGGTCACTGCGTTCATTTTGTTTACAGTGCCTTTAACAACCACACGATCCCCGCTTCCGAGGCCAAAACACAGAGGTGTTTGGAAAGCCACAGCATACAAACGCAGTGCCGACCATCAGGTTTCCAGGAAAGAACATTTTGGATCTATTTTCGAAGAAGCGCAGTTGGACCAGTTTATACTGATCAATTTATTTTGATTGAAAATGGTACGATTGCAGCCAAAACACTCGGCACGGCAGACGAATCAAAGGTTGACATTTTAATGCTGCTCTGATGCAAAGCAAGTCAAAAATAAACCCACGAAGTTAAGCCCCCCAGTCAACACTTTTGCCTGCTTGTTTTGAACCGTGAAATTATAACGGATTTGAAGGATGCATATGTATATCAACTATAAAACGTGTACCATAGGCACATTGCTTCTAGCTGCTACAGTTCCATCACGAGAAAACGGGAGAATGTGGGAACTGGGTGGCTACGCATTGAAGGTGATAGCTTTGTTGCACGAGTGCCAGTGACTGCGCGATTGGGCCATTTCTGCCATTGTTAATGGCCATTTGTGAGTTGAGTCCCGGGGTCTAAGTTAACTGGTTAGCGTTTTCGTACCACGTTGCTGGGTCACACCGTTCACCTCTCAGTGACTTCCACTGAGCATAGGACTGAGCCAAAAGAGGTCTGTGAGACAGGCGGTATCCTGGCATGCGGGGTACATGTCCTAACTAGCGCAACGTATGAAGCGTGAATAGTTCATCTATCGTGCAAGAGTTCCTTTCTCTTAAGGCCATCTGACGTATCTCAGCATTACTTATACTATGTTCGCACCAGACCTGACCAATGGTTTAGGACACCGATGGTTAAACACTGACATCTTTCGTATGCCCTCTGCGCGTATGGGCCAAATTTCTGATCTGTAAAGCAGTACTGATCGCACCACTGCAGTGTAAACTCTACCCGTTGACAGACAAACTGACGCCACATGGGTGCCATAGGTGTAGGAGGTTGGCAAAAGCTGCCCTGGTTTACCCGATTCGAGAAGTAATTTCATCTCCAGCCAGTCCACCAGAACTTATACAGCTTGCTCAGGTAAACGCATTTATCTACTACATCGACTGGCTCGTCTGCAAGCATAAGGTTTTGGTTTGATCCAACCCAGTCTTGTATCAGCACTTTATGCTTTTCAGACTTGAAGCGCATGCCAAACCATGCGTCCGAATTATTTCGGTTATTTAAAATAGTTTGCATTTTTTAAGGATGTGAACCACGGAGAGCAATGTCGTCTGCATACTTAATAGCAAAGCAAGTCAAAAATAAACCCACGAAGTTAAGCCCCCCAGTCAACACTTTTGCCTGCTTGTTTTGAACCGTGAAATTATAACGGATTTGAAGGATGCATATGTATATCAACTATAAAACGTGTACCATAGGCACATTGCTTCTAGCTGCTACAGTTCCATCACGAGAAAACGGGAGAATGTGGGAACTGGGTGGCTACGCATTGAAGGTGATAGCTTTGTTGCACGAGTGCCAGTGACTGCGCGATTGGGCCATTTCTGCCATTGTTAATGGCCATTTGTGAGTTGAGTCCCGGGGTCTAAGTTAACTGGTTAGCGTTTTCGTACCACGTTGCTGGGTCACACCGTTCACCTCTCAGTGACTTCCACTGAGCATAGGACTGAGCCAAAAGAGGTCTGTGAGACAGGCGGTATCCTGGCATGCGGGGTACATGTCCTAACTAGCGCAACGTATGAAGCGTGAATAGTTCATCTATCGTGCAAGAGTTCCTTTCTCTTAAGGCCATCTGACGTATCTCAGCATTACTTATACTATGTTCGCACCAGACCTGACCAATGGTTTAGGACACCGATGGTTAAACACTGACATCTTTCGTATGCCCTCTGCGCGTATGGGCCAAATTTCTGATCTGTAAAGCAGTACTGATCGCACCACTGCAGTGTAAACTCTACCCGTTGACAGACAAACTGACGCCACATGGGTGCCATAGGTGTAGGAGGTTGGCAAAAGCTGCCCTGGTTTACCCGATTCGAGAAGTAATTTCATCTCCAGCCAGTCCACCAGAACTTATACAGCTTGCTCAGGTAAACGCATTTATCTACTACATCGACTGGCTCGTCTGCAAGCATAAGGTTTTGGTTTGATCCAACCCAGTCTTGTATCAGCACTTTATGCTTTTCAGACTTGAAGCGCATGCCAAACCATGCGTCCGAATTATTTCGGTTATTTAAAATAGTTTGCATTTTTTAAGGATGTGAACCACGGAGAGCAATGTCGTCTGCATACTTAATATCTGTGAGCAAACGTCCCGGGAGCATTTCGACTCCCGAGGTTTCATAATCAGGCGGAGAAACTTCAAGCAGCGCATTGATTACAAAGTTGAATACGAAAGATTAGAGAGGGCAGTCTTATTTTTCACTACTGGACGTGGTGAACTCAGGTGAAAGTTTGCCGTATACTCGCACACGCCCACAAGGGTTGCATAGCTTCTTCATAGGGAATATATATTTGGAAGGGACGACTTTGATCGCCAAACACCGCCTTAGCTTCTGACATCATCATCATCATTATCAGCTGTAATAACCGCGTACTCGTCGTACACTGGTTGTAGCTGCCACAGTTTCGTTCACCGATGATTGGGGGGGTAAGTAGCTGCGCATTGCACGCGCGAGCTGGTAAATTGGTGCATAAATCCAGCACTGTCAGTGAGTTGTCAAGCGGGG